CTGCTGCAGTGAGGACTGGCCTAAGACATGCAGCCTGCTGCAGTGAACACTGTCCTAAGACATGCAGCCTGCTGCAGTGGAGACTTGGTGGACACTGGCCTACATAACTTTCTGATTGAGTACACTGACTGCAGCTAATCTTTCACCACCTGGAAACCTAGATTGAAAGAACAATGGAGTTTATTAATGATTAAGAAAAAGGAATTTCAGATTCTTTTCCTATCCTATAGGCTAGATAGCGTTGTTCTTCATTACAGAGTTCTCCCTTCTTCCAAAAACAGCACGCAGCATCCCATGTCAAAACTATACCAGGACTGGCAAAAAGCTCTCATGTCTGCTGTGGGCTCTGCCCCTTTCCAAAGCAGGAGGTGCTGGATTCACATATTACTGAATTAAAACTACTGTCCTTTCTCGATCAGTTTTGATCCATGATATGTTCCCTGCCTCACTTGTCCCAGATATTTTTAAAAGTAGAACTTAAGTATGAAAGACGGCCACTGTCCCTAGAACTAATCACAATGCGAGACATACACGTGAAAAGGTTATGGAAAATAAGCAAGGTAGTTAATGATTAAGAAAAAGGGATTTCAGATTCTTACTTCCCGCCCTACAGGCTAGATAAAGTTGTTCTTCATTATAAAATTCTCCCTTCCAAAAGCATTTCTCCCCATTGGCAGCTAAGTACCTGTTAGCTGACCTGGACCTGGGAAGGCACCGTCCGATGCTGTGGACTTCTTCTCCCCTCCTTTCTCTCTCCATCACGCCTGTTTGTGCCCCTGTGCCGTTAAAGAGTGATTTCAAATACTTCATTACGGTGAGCTGTTGAGTGGTGTCTCTCACACAGGCCCAAAGGCAAGTCAAACTGCAAAGGAACCTGTACTTTGGATTCTAGAATTTGACTGATTTGAAATCCCAGCCCCACTGTTGTATAAAACTTTAGCCCATGCTCCAGAGCCTCTATGTTACTCATCTGTGAAATGGGAATAATAAAACTATTTCACAGGGAAAGATGACATATTCATCCTTCTTCAGCTTACCTCGCTTGTCTTAGAGGGAGTCCAGTCATCTGTATAGGACACTCTTTGGAAGATTCTGGGTCCTCTGTCAACATTCAGTGGTGGATTAGTGGCCCCATTTCACCAGAGAAAGCTCCAGAACTCAAGTCGCTGCCCCCACCCCATCTTTGCTCTGGTTTTCCCTCATCCCTGGATCCCAGCACCTGTTGCCACATCATTCAGCCACTATGCTGCACCCACATTCTCCCTGGGTTTGTTCAGTGTGTTGCCTTTGACTTTCAAGAAAAGCTGGTATCCATGCAGGGACCTGGAGAGGCAGATCCCATCACAGCCGGCTGCCAGACAGATTCCGCCTCTCCTATTCTGCCCTGGAGGGAGAACAATACCAGGAGATTCACCCAACAGAACATCTCATGGCAGACAACTGCCCCAGATCCCTGCAGAGCTAAGAACAGCGAAACCCCAGGCTTCTGAGGACGTAGAGCATCCTTATGTCACAACTCTACAGTGACCTGGAAGCTGGTGGTTACACCTATCTTTTCTGGACAAGGACATTTTCCTTGTAACAGTGCCTGGATGCAGAGAGTTGGGGTCAGCCCCATTTGTGAGCTCCTCTATGTTCCAGGCACTATAGGAAGATCTCGCACGTTGTGACCACCTCCCACCCACCCACCCACTGTGCAAGGAAAGCCTTGCTCTGACCCCTCCTTTAGAGCCAAGAAACCAAAGAGTAAATAACTGGGCCTGGTCATAGAGCTGGAAAAGAGAGCCAACCAGGAATTCAAACAAAGTCTGTTTAACTTTGAAGTCCATTACAACTGGCTTCCCACTAAAGGCAGGGTAAATAGCAAGAGTGTAAGTAGACTTTCAGAAGGAGAGGGGAAGTGGCCCTGCCATTCTGCTACTTGCTGCTTCCACCCAGCTGGAAGTTGTGGTCATCAGACGGGGAAATTGGAATGGCTCTTCCAGCCACCTGCCCTTGCCCCACCACGAAGACATAACCCCTCAAAGAGATGGAGCCGAGTGATGGCACACGTGAGGTCTGTGGATTGTCCACCTTGGCGACAACACCTTGGGAAACACTTTCAATCAAAATCTGCAAATGGGTAGCTTTGTGGGGTGCATCTAATGTGGAGAGATGTTTTCTTTCAGTGGCAGGAATTTTCAGAACTTCAGATTAATTGTTAACCTTTTTCAAAGATAACTGGTTTGCACAAAACTCCAGATTCCCGAAATTACCTTGAAAACTCCAAAGTTCTGATATCCCCAAGGCCCCATCCTCTCTGACCACTGGTCCCTAGAGTGGAGTAGCCACCTACTTGGACCCGGAAGTGAAATGGTGCTTTTTAATCTGCTACAGTCCTTTTCCCCCGGGTCCTGTGTGGTAAGGAGTACCAGTTCCCCCTCCCCCACCACAGCGTATCTCCCAGCCACCCTTTCTCTCCTCTTGGACATAAGAGGGAAAAGATCCTTCCTAGCGCTTCATACCTTTTTCTCTTTGTTCCTCTAGGTGTTCCCTTCCCAAAGAACTTCCTTCAGATCTGCAAGAAGATCCTGTGCCGCCTGTTTCGGGTCTTCGTCCATGTCTACATCCACCACTTTGACCGGGTCATTGTGATGGGTGCAGAGGCTCACGTCAACACCTGCTACAAACACTTCTATTACTTCGTCACGGAGATGAACCTCATAGACCGCAAGGAGCTAGAGCCCTTGGTAAGTGTCTCAGCAGTAGGTCACCACACACTGTGAGAACTATGGAAAGCTGGGGTAGCGTTCGATCAGCAAAGGACCAGGGTGCATCAGAATGTCTACTGCAACCAAATAACTGTCTTAAGTTGCTCTCCAGGAGGTGAGATAATGTGGTGACATTATTCCTATATAATGATTTGGGCCAAGGAAGCTAGATTTATGCTTAACTCTGAAAAAAAAAATCATTTACTCAATTTCTTAAAGACACTTCTATTTTTTTTTTCCCCTGAGACAGGATTTCTCTGTGTAGCCCTGGCTGTCCTGGAACTCGATCTGTAGACCAGGCTGGCCTCAAACTCAGAGACTCACCTGCCTCTGCCTCCCGAGTGCTAGGATTAAAGGCGTGCACTACCACTGCCTGGCTGAGACACTTCTTTGATCTGTCACTAGTCAGTGATGGTCAGACACATTTATTTTCTTAGTCAGTAAATGAACATTTAACACTCACTGTGTGTCAGCTGCTAGGCACGCAAAGTCAAATTAAACTTCCAAGGACACAGAGAGAAGTAAGTGAAGGAAGAGTTCCGTGTCATAGGGAATTTGCTCTTTTTACTGACTCCCCTGGGGTGAAGCCATCGTGGGTTTATCATTTGAGATTAAGAACATTTGAGATTAAAAAAATTTGAGTAAGCTCTAGCTTTTTATACAGATGAGTGGAGTCTGCTTTTATTTTATTGTTTTTAAAAGAGATTTATTTTTATTTTGTGTATGCGTGTTTCCCTGCATGTATGTTTGTGTACCATGTATGCATGCAGTGCCTGTGGAGGCCAGAAGAGGGTCTCAAATCCCCTGGAACTGGAGTTACAGGTGGTTGTGAGCTGCCGGATGGGTGCTGGGAATCAAACCTGAGTTCTCTGAAAAAGCAACAGGTGCTCTTAACCACTGGTCTGTCCCTCCATCCTCTGGGTTTATTTTCTTCAAAAGTCTCTTTCACTGTTGGCTTTCCTATGTGCTTGAGAAATCAAGGACCCTCAAAACCCTTGTAACGGGTTCACTCTAATGTGGATGCTTGCCTCACAGCTGTCCCCAGTGGCACTAGTGAGTACCTGTCTACCCAATAGGATACGTGGCTTTATATTAAAACCATGAGTTGTTTTTTTCTCTTGAGAGAGTTAAAGTGTAGTTTTGCTAAATATAGTTGGCAAAGTCAGTTTTGTACAAGTGTTTTTGAATATTGACCAAAGTGCAGAGCCCAGGTGTCAGCTCTACTGTTTACCTGTCTTTGTCCGCACAACTGAAACGATGTTTTATTAGGATTTGGGTACCTGAGGTCAACAGCTCACATGACTGCTACTGGAATGGTATAGTCACATATCCCCACAGTAAGAGCTGGGCCCAGCTGTGTGGAGAAGCAGCAGATCAGAGAGGAGCCAAGCGGGCAGAAAAACAGGCATAGGGTAGACTCATATGAAGGATCTCAGTAGGCTCGGGGCACACAGGCTCTTCCAGTCAATCCTCTGCTACCTTGCCTCACCGTCTTTGGTCTGACAGCCTAATGTGGGAGGTGGTTGGCTGTGGGCTCTAGATTGGCTGTTTTCTATTAGCTGTGTGTGAACAACTCATGAGTAAACCGTTTGCCACCTCAGGTATTAACTAGCTAGGGGCAGGACGGGGAGGGGGTGGGGGTCCCCTCTTGGAGTTAGCAAGGTCCCAGGGATTAAAGAAGCAAAATACAATCAATCAATCAATAATAAACAAGCAAATAATGACATATTAGCTATGCATGTACTGTATCTATAATTATTAAAGAAGATGTTGGTGAATCTTATGTTACCTTTAGGAGTTTAATTCTTGATCTACAATTGCACCATGGAATACACACCAAACAGTTTACTTTGCATACAGTTGAGAAGTCTCTCACATCATTGGTTAAAGAAGAGATGGTCATCTTCACTTTCTTTCCATTGGATTCTTATTAGAAAGCTTTTGGGGCCAGCCCCTGAGTTATCTTTGGACATCATCATAGGACTCATATGGAAAGAAACTTACAGGCATCAGTGGTGGTGGGTTTACCAGTTTGTCCTGTATAAAAACTGCTGAGTGTAAATAACCACCACGAAGAGTGAAAGGTTGTACAAACAGCTCAGGGGAGTGTAAATACTGGAAACTGTTGATAAAGCTAATCTCAGAAAATGTCAAGGGCAGTGGAAAGAGAGGGGCCTTGTCAGTAAAGAGACACGAAGCACTGTGCTGGGCCATGGAGTCAAGTTCCCATCCAGGGTCACGCCCAGGTAAGCAGGAACAAGTCCCCAAAGGCCACCAAAAGAGCTCCGCTAGACACTCACACTTTGCGTTTTGCTGAGTTCACACATAAATGTTAGCTGGATAGGGCTGGACGTCAAGTTCTCCTCTATGCACAGAAGCATAAAGGCTATTGTGGGGGAATGCTGGGGCAAGTCAGCAAGGAGAGAAAGCCTTCCTTTGCCATCCGAAACCTCACTGTTGTAGTCTGTTGTTGAAGAGAGGCCCCAGGAGCTGGAGTACCTGGTGGTACCAGGAGCTGCCTTGCAGTCCCAGCCTCATAGCCAGGCCCTGAACAAGCCAGGATTCTACAAAGCACTTCTTTGGGGGCCTGGAAGAAAAACATGATTATCCTCACCAGGCATTGTTAACAGTAGAAGTAACAAGAGAAGCAGTGAGTGCCCCCCCACCCCAAGTTTGTACTTCTTTAACTCATACTTAAGATTGTTTTCTTCCCGCATTTATGTTTTGTGGATCATAGTGACAGGAAAATTAATTGTAATAAGTAGTAGGTAATGTTAAAATAATTATGTGGAACTGTGTGTTTGCTTGTTTATACAAGCTCAAACCCGTAGATCACAAGATTGGATACTGTGAATGCTTCTGAGTTCAATGATCCTATGATGGCCAGGCATGGTGACAAATGCCTATAATGCCAACACTCTAGAGGCATACTCAGAAGGATGGCTGCAATATTGAGTCTAACCTGATCTACATGGACATTCCAGGCCAGTCAGGGCTCCGTAGAGAGAACCTGTCCCCAAAATAGCAATAACAGGGGCTCTCCAGAGCACTGGCTGTTCTTCCAGAGGACCCCCGGATCGATTCCCAGCACCTTCATGGCAGCTCATAGCCGTCTGTAACACCAGTTCCAGCAAATTCGACAACCTCTCCTGGCTTTTATGGCCACTAAGTATGCACATGGTGCACAGACGTATATGCAGGGGAAATACCCATACATACAGAATAAAATAATTTTTAAAACTCACAATCATATGATGCCAGGCTCGTACTGCTTAGCATTTCTGGCATCATTAAGAGTGTTGCACTTATGGATTGGCACTGATGACATTGTGCTCACTAATATTGCTGGAATACCTGACAAGCCACCTAATGTGGCAAAGCACATATTGCAATCAGAGCTAGCATATCAAATCAATACACTTAAATTTGTCAAGTATTTTCTTACATTTATTTATTGTGTGGGGTGTGCTTGTGTTTAGACTTGCCTTTGTCTCTGTGCATGCAGCTGCACACAAGTGCATGTACATGGGGAAGGGGGCAGACAACAACTTTGGGAGTCAGTTCTCTCCTTCCTTGGTGGCAGAGGCCTTTACTCACTGAACCAGCTCACTGAGCCCAAATCCATGTATTCTTATGTTGTGCAGTCCGCTACTCCATATGTTCAAAGTGAATCGTTCAGAGATCATGTTTTATATAAGAAGGATATGTTGTAAGGAGTAAACTTACAACACAGCCTAGAAAATACACAATGATGAGTATCTTCTTCTTCCCCAGAGGATGAATACTCAGGACTTTGCCTTCAAGTTCTGCTCATGCATTCTTCATAGTGTAATGCAGCTAGAGATCAAAGGGCAGCATTTGTTCAACCAATTTCCTTCAAAACAGCAGCATGGCCGGAAGTCCCCCACCATTAGTGGGCCATTCCTGGAGTCAAGCTTACAATTCCACAATGTGGAACTTGGAGCCTCACCTGGGTCTTCCCCTCTGTGCATCTACCATGACAGCCACGGTCTTTTGGGTCAAGGTTCACCTGACTGCATTGGAACAGTGCCGGCTGAGCATCTGGCACGTGGATTATCTGAAGGATCCAGGACCCCACAAGGGTAGGAGACTCAGTATCACACAGAGCCAGTGTAAAACTCAGTCCCAGGGCTCAAACCCCAAATCATCACTTATTACTAACTTGTAACCTTTAACAAGATACTTAGTTTCTGAAACCATCATTTTCCTCATCATGGAGTAACCATAATGTAATTATAAAAATTAGAGATTAGGCACACAGTAAGTACATAAGAAATGTTAGCTATTAAGTCAGATAATGAATTTACAGTAATTAGTACTCAGTAAGTAGAACAACCGGACTTCTCCCTTCCCTGGTTCTCATGGCCTTTCATCCATCCTAGTGATTCCTTAGGTGGCCTCAGAGCAAATGTACTTAATTCTATTTGTATCTATTTGTATCCCTTCGGGTTGTCAGTTCTGTGAGGGCAGGCAGTAAATAAGATGTGCGCCTGAATTGTCCATGCTGCTTGGGACATAATAAATACTTGATTTTTTTTTTAATTTGGGCAGAGTAGTTTAAGGATGATGTACCTCTGTTCAAAAGGATTACATGTAGCCATTCCTCCTTGGTACCACCCTTATTTTATAATTGCAACTTAGCCACTCATTTATTGGGACTAACGTGTCATCCTGACTGATTTATTTATAATAGAGATTCAAAGCAAATTAAGATGCAGAGCAGTGAAGGGATGTGTTTAAACTGTAGATCTGACTGCACATGCTCCTGCCCCAGATTACAGATTGATTCACCCAGGAAATGTTGAACACGCTCATACCACAATCAGTGTCCTAGTGCCGAAGACGCAAGGCCTGTCCCATGTCCTGGGAAAGCCTTGGTCTCCGGCAAACTAGGACAATTGTCAGGATTCTGAGTAGGAAGTCAATTTGGAATTCAAAAGCTGGGAAGAGGTCCCCCT